ATGTTTAGCTAGTCTGTGTAACACTGAAAAGAGTAAACGAACAGAACAGATTAAAATTTGGTGTTTTTGAATAATTTAGAAAATCTCTTTTAAAAAGACCTAAATAACAAAGATTATCTCGTTTAATTAACTTCTGGAGAGAAGTATGGCATAAGAAAACCTTAATATTATTAGTCAGTATTAAAAGTCTGGAACCTAGAATAAAGTGTATCCGGGAGCAAAGTTTGAAAATAATACGAAGTATTTGATTATTTCATGTTGAACATTAAAGAAAGCAGTTCAACAAACCAAATAAATGATGTCGTGAGGAGCAGAGAGGTATCGGGAATGCCTTTCAATTACGAGAATCACCGATGCAACGCAACAAGCTTTGGTTGAAAAGGATGGTCGAAGTACTTCGTTATGTGCTGGTATCCATACACCTCTCACCAACTGAAATTTTGTTTTTGATTTGAACTTTGAGAACCCATAAATAAGCATTTAAGGGCTCTTATAATTGATGTAGGTCTGGAGGAAAGGAATGAAGAAAAACTAGGAAAGTCACTTTTCACTAATTGAAACTGTAGGAGCATCAGTTTTTTCTCTCTCTCCTGGAATAGAAGAACAATCACCGTTGAAAATAAACGAAATACCGTACTACCGAGGGAAAACCTTACAACACACCTAAAGATATAATTAGGTCAAGTAGCAAGCTCAAATAATGTCTTTTTTGGTAGATAGTGACGACAGCATTATAGGCTCATCACTAAATGAATCGTATTCTGAATGTATTACTGAATAGGAAGACTCAAAATTCACCTGTTCTACTGTTCGCAAAATTCCTGACCCGGCTCCTTTGGCTGTTCCTACCAGAATATGCACGAGATAAGAACTTGGATACAACTTCGACGCATGCAACACACCATGTGCTACCTATCAAAGAATATGTGATTACAAATTAAAAGCTTAAAAATTAAAGAAAAAAGTCATATGATTCGCTTGCTGAAGCTTTAAAAAAACTTGGATTTACAATAAGTTCTTAATAGAAAAGAAAAAAAAAATATTTTCAAAAAAAAGGACCTTGGACGTCCTTCGAACTTCTTTCAATATGGACAGAACAACTTTGATCGGTAAGAGCTTTGACACTTTATAGACTATATCGAATGGAGAATAGAATACGAAATACCAAACAAGAGTAGCCTGAAAACTACAACTTTTGCTTATTAACCAACTACTTAAACTACTTATAATCACTAGTATCTAGTGTAAGAATGCATATTACAAATGATGATCAGTAGAATAAGAACTGCAACGGATGATGTTTGATGTAACGGATCCATTAATATACAAGAATCTTGCAAAGAGCCAATGTTCAACAGCAATTTAAAATATATTATATCTAAGGGATTATGCAGTGTTTTAAAATGAAGAGCATTAGTTCACAGTAATTCCTTCCATTTAAATATAAATTACAAAGTAAATAACCAGCAAAATGTCATCATGTCGTTTAAAAGGTGCGATCACTGGTTCTCCTAAAAAGAAATTAGCCGAGATGCTACCCGCAAAGCACATTAGCATTGACGAAAGCCAACAACTCAAGGGATGTTTCCGAGAAAACAGTGATGCTCCAGTCCCTAGATCGTCCCGAACTGATATTGTCATCTGAAATAGAACATCTGGGATACTCAGGAAGTTAAGAGGTTCAGCAGAAAACTCGATAACATACTTCACTAACTGGCAAGTATTCTTTTTTTTGTCTATCTAGTTCAGCTTACACATTTAATGTTTATTTTACTCCCTTCATACATAGACTGCTACTGTTGTCGTATACTTTAATTTGATAATATAAGTACTGAGAACTTAAGGGTCTTATTTCCTTATATTTTCTACATGACGTAGTGTCAAATCTTATCATGCATTGCAAAATGAAATAATATATTAAAGTAATTGAAAATTGTTTTTACCTAATTTTTCTATGAGTAAAAATGAAGTAATCATACTACGTATTTTTTGAAACGATATTCTATGAAATGATAAAAATAATGGAACGAAAAAGAGTGAAATAAACACAATGATTCATTCCATTCTTTAAATTTTATCAATTATAATTGTAAAAATATATTTATAATAAAAATATATCAACTAACAAGTATATAATGTGCCAAATCAAAGTATGGATACATTCTGAGGCGTTGCACACGACTAGCGGCACCTGTGAGGATTTCTTGATCTAGCCTGATATAATCCACAAAAGACATTGTATTCAGTATTCGTTCAGTTCGTCGACTCAATAATTAATTATGAAACAATAATAATTATGAAGCACTTTTACTTATTCGTTTCCGCGTAATACAAATCAATCTGAAATGCAACGAAAAAAAAATAAAGTTTTATGATAATTGAAAACATTTCAAAGTTTTTTCGTGCATGCGACATTGACTAATTTATAATGCAAAATTCAATAATATGGAATTTTATCCTCGTTTATTTAACTAAATTAAAGAGAAATGTTGATATAACAATTTAAACTATAGCAGTTTACTAATTTCATTAATAAGAATTTTCAATAAATCCAATTAGCCTCGTAAATTGAGCCGTAAAGCAACAATAACTCTCTCCCTCCTCCCTCTCTCTCTCTCTCTCTTTTTGTTTTCACTTTTCATCTTCTACTACTGCATAGCATCTTGTGTACGAATCCGACACAGCTTCAGAATCATTATCAGCACGAATAATGAACGTATCGATCGGTTGCATCAGTATATTGAATTTTTCTAAAGTTCATAATCATTCACAATTTGATAAGTTATACTGTTCCCTTTCTGGTATATATATTTCAACGCAAATTCATTTGTCACTGATAATATCAAATATTCGAGCATATATTCCCCAGCTGACAATTATCTTTCATTGTTTTTCCTTAATTCCTTCATACTTTGCTTTCCTCCGATGAACAATAACACGAAATTAAAAAAATTTTGTGTGCAAAGACAATAACGAATATATGTTAAAGCTTCATATGCACATCTATTATCACGTACGTAATATGTACGTATAACATATTAACATCAGTGTACTAATCCTATAAATTAATTACTGCTACAAATCATCGAATTCATATATTACCTGTTAAAGTAGCTATATTTTTGGGCATAACTATTTGAATGATCGACGAAATGAGAAAAACTAATTTCAAAATTTATGAACATTGATATAATAGTGCTTCTCATAGGGGACGAAAGAATATGCAGTGAATTATTATAAATAAGACTTATGTAAAGTTATCAAGTTATAATAAAATAGAATTTGTTAAAGTGCGAAAAATCTAACTGAAATATATTATTTCATTTCCATAAATATAAATTTGATGAGATTCAAATGATGAAATTAGAAAATATACTAGAAGATAAAGCATATCTCGAATAAATATACTACACTTAAACTTTATATTATTATTTCTACTTACTCAATTCCAAATTAATTCCTCCCAATCGTAACATCTTTATCTAACAAATCAATGCTTAATTTCATAGTTATTCAACAAATTTGAATCATTAAACTGTCGTGCAAAATTTAGCAAATACTACATTCTACCCAAGAACATACCCGAATTACTAAACATTCACTCACTTACACGGAGCGTTACATGAGTTTCAATATTGACGTAGAAAATTACTCATTAAGAAAACAGTCAAATAAGAACTCAAACTATTTTAATATATAATATAAATACATCACTTGAAGTTTTAATGGAAGTGAGTAAAATTAAGCATGAATAGATGAGACCTTAATAAATCATCAAAAATTTATTTCTTCAGGAATAACACAACTAGAAAAGATTAATTGATATATTTAAAGTGCATGTTAAGAATGAAAATCACAAAATGAAAAAATGAAAAGCAAGGATTTATCGTTGAAATATTTTACAAAATAATATTCATTCAACTTTACTATACAAACCAATAGAAAATATCTGAAAATAAGTAACACACTTTCATCTTTTTCATTCTTTTACAAATGAATGAATTGAAAAAAAAAAAAAAATAGAAAGGAAGAAAAAGATAATGAAATGCTTACTTATATGAGGAATAAGAAGAAGAGAGCTATGAAATGATTACTATGCTATAATGACGAAGAGATATACGACAAACAAGTATTGGAGTGAAAAAAAAAAAAAAAGAAGAAGGAGGAGGATAAGATGAAACTTTTAAAGATGCTAGACTGATCACTTTGCTAACAGTTGTTAATAGGAAAGAGGAAGAGGAGAAGATTAGAATGAAAGAGTTGTTTGTGACTAGACAAGCTTACATATTGTTTAACTAGTTAGCAACTCCATCAAACTGCCTCTAGCCTTTGTCCACAAAATATCCATTCAGCATAGCAGTATAAACTGATTTAAATCTATATATCATCCAAAAAAAAAAAAAAACTTGAACTTTCAAGAATAAACTTGAAATTTGAACTTTTAAAAGAGTGAAATCTGATTTTTGATATGGTGAAAAGAAAATGTAATGTTTCACTACAAGCAGGACATTTTTGCATTCTTTGAATTATTGATCATTTTGTGAAAAAAAAAACGCATTTTTTCCCTAGTATTTTCTCTGCTTCTATGCAAATCTCCATTATCTATATTGTCTAAAGCCACTTTTGACCTTTTACTGTAAAACACAATGTATATACAGTAAAAGTGACCTTTTCCCCATCTAAATTGTTTTCTCAGTTTATGGGTCAAATGTTTCCGATACGATATACAAGTAGCGATATTTGCTTGTATGTTAAATATTTTCCTTTTTCCAGTTCCAGTTTCCTGTTTTCTTCTATAAACTTTAATATTCTTTGATGTGAGAATAAATAGGTCAAAAAAATAAGAAACTATGGTTAGTTTCTTCAGGCAGGTAAATTTTTTACTCTTTGGTGCCAGTATTGAATCATTTCATCAAAGGTACTGAATCAATGAGAATGAAAGAAAACGCATATTTTCCACCTATTTCCCATTCAAATTTCTTGTTCCTCATCATATATATTTATACTTTGGCACCTTGCTAAAAAAAATTGGCATCATATTCTTAGAAAATATTAGGTCTACTTTTTAGAAATTCATGATCGCTTAAAGTTTTTGAAATTTTCCTTCAAAATTCTTAGAATGCTGTAGGATTCTTCACGAATTATTCAGCTCATAAAAACCCATACTAAGCTTCTCTTTTTATCTTAATTACTAAGCCAAGTAATTAATAAATGCAATTATTTCTAAAACTAATCAAAGGAAATGACATACAACTTTAAGAACCTGCTATTCTCAAAGTAATATGCTACATATTTATTCTTATCGAGAAGAAATGTCAGAAAAACAACCTTAAAAATTTCCTTCATACATCTGTTGTAATCTTCTATCACTTCCATCAGTGCTATCATAGCAGATGAAATCACTGATTGCTGAAATATTGAATGGACATTCCTCTATCGAATTAACTATAATACTTCTGAAGGGTCCACTACCAAAGGAAAAAAATTCGAGCAATTCTTTGAACACTAGCAATTCTGCTGCATCTAACATTCGATTTTTTTCATATATTAGAAATAGAATTTAAAAAATAGAAAATAAAGGAACTTTTTCCTTTAAGAAATGCCTACATTTACTAACAAATATAAAAAGAATATTGGCCTTACAGATTCCTTGATTTCATCATCCAATAATTTATCAGTTTTTTCAAGTTCTTCTTTAAATATGCCTTCGGCGCGCTCCTTTACAGCCTACAGTAAAAGCGCTTAAAGGAAAGAATAAAAACGTCGAATTAGAATTGTAAATTTAGTATTCATATATATCACTGATATTTAATACTGGAAGTCTTTGTGAAGTCTTCCAAAAAATGGAAATCTACCTGAATGTCGAGATCATCCGGTTTTTTTCGTAATTTGTTAATGGCACAATCCAGTTCATCCCGTTTATTGTCTACAGATTTCAACTCCTTGCTCACATTTTTAGCGTTTGTCTGTAAACACTTTTGGAAATGCTTAATATTTACTATCTGACACTTCGAATTATTATAACAAAACGAATTGCTTTCTCATTATAGCTACCTCAATCCATTCTTTCATAGATTTTTGTACATTGTCTAACATATTTGTCCGAAATGAGCGATGTTTTTGACCGGCATTATCGAATATTTCCTTGGCTGTTTTTAGAACTACTGCAGACGAATCATCTTCAATCTGGTTACTATACTTATAAATTGCTTGTCCAACTTTTTCGAATTTATTCATTCCACTATCAACGGTATCCTTTGAGATCTTTTGTTTCAGTTCAGTCGCTAAATTATCCTATGAAAAATAAAACTTGTGCAATATGATTTGTTGTTGTATTACTTAGCAAAAAGTAGAAAAATTTGTTGTTAAAAAAGACTCGAATTTCTGAACGATTGTAAAGAAAAAAAAGGAAGGAAAAAAAAAGAAAATATAATAATATATCATTGATTAAAATAAGTTAAGAGTATTTTATTTCTCTTCAAGCAAATATAACTTACGGTGACCAATGTAACCATGAGGCCCATCAATTTTTCAATTTGTTTTTTAAAATTGTTAAAGAGTAGAATTTTTTCTTCATAATCCGCACTATATACTGTTTTCGAACCACCTGTTAGACGATAAGCAACAGCTTTCACTTTAGTCGTCATTTAATTGTTTATTGTGCTGAAATTAAAATTGTTACTGCTTAATGTAATATGGAGAAGAAACATAAAAATAAAAAATAAGCTAAAAATTAAAAAACAAAAATGAAGAATTTCAATTTTTCCAATTAATTTTTTTTTTTTTTGAAACATTTTATGATAATTTTTCACTTTTAATTCTCTATTCATAATATTTTTTTTTACTTTAAATTATTTTCTTTTTCGTTATAGGAGATGTCTTAATATATCATTTTTATTTTAACTAAAATCTCATATGACATCACTGATTGATTTTTTCATCAAACTAGAACTGATTCTATCGAAAAAAATATGGGCAGAAGCAAACAATCCATCTGAGCAATGATAGAGTATGATAAATGCCTACCGTTAGTAATGTTAGTATTCAAAGAATGCTTTGTAAAGGAGCATATTATTTTATAAATTTAAAATTAATTTCAGGATTTATGCATAATATAAGTTGCCATCTTAAGCGGGTAAACTTTACCCGAAGCAAGTAAACTACTTTTTAAGAATAAGACATTGATTTTCATCGCGAGTTATTAAGCATCACATTTCAATTTGATGTTGCAAATAATAGTGTGATCAGCGATGGCCTTTGAATTTACGCCTTTGAATGTTTATATATTGTGTTGTGTACGTGTTTCACGTTGCTACGTTATTAGATGTTTCACGTTACTAGGTGTACGCCACGCAAAGTTTGATTTAGATGGAAAGAAGGTTTGAAATTTTTAGCGAAGTGAGAACGAAAAGACGAAAGATTATGACGGAAAGATTGTGTGAGAAGAGTAAACGAATAGTTCGTGAACCGTGGCATCGTTATACCTTATCCGGATATGACTGCGAAGATGGTTTTCCGGAATACCGGTTCAAGTGGGAATTGTTCGGTGAAGCTGCTTTCTACACATCAATGAATACGTCCATTCAGCCGGCCACCTTCTGTTGTTTTTCACGTGCAATATTGAGGTAGGTTTGATTTACGATCCAATTTTCTGAAGATTGGATCGTAAATCCTATTATTTCGGAATTTCCAGCCTTTCGCTTACTTTATTACCTTTGATTGCGTATGTGTTTTATCCCTGACATGACATTAGAATACGTTCGAAATGTAGAAATTAATGACAGGAGAATTTTAAAATTGTATTTGTAGGAAGCTAGCTGCTTAGTATTAGCATCGATTTATCCTTTTTGTTCTTCCTTTACAGTACAGCTAAAATAATAAAGTTAAGTTGATGCTTCTTCACCTTCGTTTAGTGTTCTTTGATTCATGCTATATACTTTATTTATATTTTATTTCACTTCACTACAGTGATATCGATTTACAATCGCTCAGTAATGAACAGTCGGTAGTAGCGAGCTCAAGCACCAGTCCAGTTTTGGATGTTTTCGAATCTGAAGTGAAAGATGACCAGGATGGAGACGATACTGATGAAGATATTGCTCGAGGTGTGGTTCATTATCTTTCTGTTTTAAATACTGTTGAGTAGGAATGCATGGAGTTTTGATGTTCAGCCCGGCATGGTTGTATATGGGTTTTTATAAATACAGTATTATAAATACAGTATTACCCAATACTACTCTGTTCAATCTTTTGCTGTTATTCTTGTGATTATATATATATATATATATATTTATTTATTTATTTATTTATTTTTGATAATATATAATATTCACTCACTTTCTAATGTTTTAGAGGATATTCTTGAATATTCAGTTATTGCTATTTTTGTCACATGAAGTAAAATGCTTAGATCGCTTATTTTGTGGATAAAATTCTGTTCAAATACACACATCTTTACATTACTATTGTATATTTTAGAGATGGCAGCATTAGGTTTGCCGACGGCTTTCGGAGATGCAAGTCGTGAGGAACCAAGTTGCCATTGGTGTGAACGAAAATGCAGAAGTTATCGTATTCGTGAGAAATCACCATATCACGAGTGCTTATCAGACTATCTCTTTTGTAATGGCCTCTATTTGGAGCGAAAGTCGTGGCTCCATGACTATCGTAAGCGGTATCCTTATTTGTTACATAGACCAGTCTCTGTTTAATATATCCATGTTATTCGTTGTACTTATAGCTACAGATCTACTGTTCTCATTCTATAATTATCATTATAATATGGATTAATTAGTCTTTTATCCTTTTGCAAGTTTCCGGTTCTTTCTTTTTTCTTGTTTTTCATGCAATGTCTTTTAATTCTCATGTATATAAACGTAGAATTTTTATTCTCGTTGATTTGTTTATCATTCATTAAAATAAATGAAAAGCAATAAAAGATGAAGAATTAGCTCTGTACTATTGTAAAAAAAAAGTATTAGCTAGATCCTCTAGTATTGAGCAAAACTGATTACAATTCTGAGTGATTATCATACTTCCTTCATTCCTTGTTTTCTAATGAGGTGGTCAGTTACTCTTCTTCAGTATTTTTCATTTCTTTTGTTAAAATATGGTGTAATCATGTAGATAGATTCAAGTTATTCCAGACTGTTGTGCTATATTGCAAAATAAGGAATGTTTGCAACATCTGTATTTTTCAAAAGGCGCTTGAATGTCTAAATACAAGTGATACAAGTGGTTTATCTGAAATATTCTGTTTGTTTCGAGATACAATAACGTTCAAGCAAGGGACATATTTTTGTTATAAACAACCAATGACTTTTTGTGAGTAATTCTATTGAAGCTCATTTTTAACAAATTTTAGCGGAATCTTTCTCCACTACTCAAGTAGCTGAAAAATTCGACAAATATACGGATCGAAAATTTGCACCGTATGCTTTGTTGAAAGAACACGAACAGGCTGACGTTAGTTTTTTTTTTTTTTATGTAGCTATGTAAATTGTGCTCATATTTGTGTGGTCTGAATGCTAAGAATGGCGTTTTGAATATCATATTGCTATAAAAATTGTTTTGAATAGTGCTATGAATTTTTATCTTTAACTTTTATATTTATCATGACGCAATTGAATGTTTAATAGGGCCAACAAAAAAGACTTTCAGTTTTCTACTATCAGTCTTTTCAACTCAGTAACAACGAGTAGTTAGGTGACCAATGATTTGAGCAGTTCTTTTCTGGGCTTAGATTTCTTTCCTTTCGTGTAGTAATCAAAAAATTATTTATTAATCAAATTTACAGAAACAAAAGAAATCAATAACAAGAATAAATGAAAATGCGAAAATAGTAGAATTATAGTATTATTAACAGTTTTTCTTGCGACATTACTGGATATAAAATTTGTTTGTCGTGTCATTTTCAGCTTGTTTTAGGCATTTTTCGGTATTTCTTATTCAAAATTGGATCATAGAGAGGAGGATTGCTCAGGGTGCTGGTTTCATGTGAGTAGAAGTTCCATTAAGAACCAAGTTAAAGAGAGTGCTATGGATCATGAAATGGAAGGCTCAACTGGAGATGATGAAAAACGATATTCAGCTGGTGGTCAAAATAGAGATGGGAGTACATATGATTTATTCAAAACTGATAATGACTGGAACTCACTTTATTTAAAACACAAAGAGGCTGTGGAAAGTCGTATCGCCAGAGATTATGGGAAATATATGAATGAATCGCATAAACGGCGACGCTTAGGATTTTCGGATAAGGTTTGTTCTATAAATACTTTTTATGGCTTACAAAATGGACTTGTGCAGGCTCCAGTTTGTAGTTTTTTTCAAACACTTTTTTTTTTAAATTTTAGTTGGCCTCAGTTGGTTTAGCTTGCAAAGGAGCAGGATCGTCTAGCGATGAAGACGATGACGATTATTTGGAGACAGGTACTCCAGGATTACAGAGGTTAGTGTACCATTATTTCTGCCTCTTCAAAGTTTAATAAAAATATTGAAAGCATAAAATTTGTGTTAACATTAGGGATATGGAGAATACGTTCTCCAGAGTACTGAAGTTTTTCTTTACATAGTAGAGTTTTCTACTCCTATTTGCTTAGTAGAAATAAAATCTAGATTAATACGAGTGAAATTAGCAATTAATAGATCATTTTAATTTTGCAGACAGCACGGTTTTCATATCGCTGATATTCATTATGATTTTCAAATACCACATCGATTTATCCAGAAAAACCGAAAAATTCACCTGAATACAAGTGGAGCTAAAGATGATATTGACGTATGTTTTTAGTTTAGGTCGATAAAGCGAAGGTAAATAACATTAGCAGAACCTCAATTGAGCGAAGAAATGCTTTTGTATTTTTAATAGATGTTACAAAATCTGCTATTTGATTCTGTTCCCACAGATGGTTTTTGAAAAATTTGTATGCAGACAAGTAATTCAGTATATTCGCAAATCTGAAATATAAAGTATGCACATGTGGATAGAACACTTGTAATCATCCTGCCAAATCTATTGGACACAGCTCTTCATATGATTTTAGTGTAGAATAACTACAAGGTAAGTATAGGTTTATTTCTTGCAGGATTTTACTGTTGTAGATGCAGAAAATGTTATTGAATCATCAAACTTTGTGCTAAGAGACGTTGATTTTGGTTACAATGATAAGCGGGACAGATGGTTGTTGGCAATGAATGCACTGAAAACGTTCGCGGATGATAAAGTGCAGTTTATTCAAGAATACTTCTATATTTTTTGAGAAATCATTTCAAAATACAAAAGATTGAAGTTTCGTATCTATTCAGCTTCATGAGTGAAAATGTTTGTACTTATAGGATATGCCTAAGTACTATAATCAGCGCTTTCGCCTTTTCTCGAAACTGAATGAAGGTATCTTGATGGATCGTGGTGAGTTGCTATTTCAGTTATGAAAGTACAGTTTTATTGAATTGTATTTTGAATTGTAATTCTAAGAAATCTATATATATCCAGCATGTATTCTGATTGGAACACATTTTTGAAAGTTGAAATATAGCGTTTTATTGATTAACCAATTGTGGATATTCAGATTATCAACATCACAATTAAATCGGAGATTTAATATAACGGTCGGATAAAAAGTAACGAGCATGCTTGACTTCCAAATAAAATTAATCAAATTAATGGATGAAATACGCATAGAAGATTTACAGTGTTTGTTATTGTTTGAAAATTATAGAAGGGTGGTACTCTGTGACGCCAGAAAGAATCGCTGCTCATATTGCTGATCGAGTTGTTATTATGAGAGATGCTATAGTGTTAGATGGTTTCGCTGGAGTTGGTGGCAACTGCATACAATTCGCCCTTAAAGGAGCTTATGGTATGCTTTTTCAAAACTTAAGCATTACTTCTAAAGAATGCTTTATCCAAATTCCTAAAAAAATTCGCACTTCATTCCAACTGAATTATATGTAGCACTGTATTATAATTAAGGTTATATTACTGACATAGTGTCAAGTAAATAAATAGTTGATGTGGTAAAATTTACAGTGATCGCACTAGATATGGATCCTGTTCGATTGCGTTGTGCAAAACGAAATGCGGAAATTTATGGCGTCGCAGATCGCATTAATTTTATTTGCATAGATTTTTTCAACTTTTGTAAATTCCACTGTAATAAAGTGAGACAATTAAAAATGGAAGTAAGAGAGAAGCAAAATGATGAATATGATACTTCCAAACTTTGGGAAAAGCGAGAAGTGAGGAAGGTTAATGGTGATTTCGAACAAGTTCAGACAGCTGCAGATGATGAATTTGAAGTGGTGGAAAAGATAGAAGGTAAAAAGATTGAAAGAACTACGCTTGCTGAGAATGATACGGATGATGAGGATGATTTCGGGATTGCTGTTGATAACTGCCATTATATGCCTGTTTTTGACGCCGTTCTGCTTAGCCCACCGTGGGGTGGACCTTCTTATCTTAAGTCAAAGGTTAAATTTTGAATTTTTTCAACAATTTTTTAAGATTTACAATTAATAATGCCTTGGAAGGAAAAGTTGATTTGAAGCTTTATGGATTTATGAAAAGACTCTAAGAAATAATTGGAAATGTGCACTAGATGGGAAAATAACGAACTTTTCTGTACGTAAAAATTTTTTGTAAAGAAACACTTGAAAAAGATGATCAAAAAACAAGAAATTTTGAAATTATTGTGATTGGGTGCTTTATAACTAGGGTGCTTTAATTAATGAGCTCTATGGAATTCTTTTTCCAAATTATCTAAAATAAAGTGCTACTTACTTTGCAGTTGTTCAGTTTAAAGAATATGGAGCCAAAAGGAGACAAAGTTTTCCGAATTACGCGAAAGCTAACTCATAATATTGCTTATTATTTACCAAGACAGACAGATGTGAAGGAGGTTTGCTTTATATTTTATGATTTTAGTTTTTGAATTAGGTTGAAATACGAAAGATGTTGAAATTGTTCAATAAAGGTATGTGATCGTCAGACATGGATGGCTCAGTTAGTTCTATTAAGAGAGATAATAGAGCTGCTTTTCTGTTACTCACTTTCCTAATCTACCAACTTAGAGTAGTCTGAAAAGTGATAAATTATGAGATAAGAAAAAAGTAAATTGTCGTATCTGAAACGTTTGTTTGAAAGTAATAAATTAGCGTGTCTTCCAGTTGATTCAGCTATCGAAGGATACTGGTGGGATGGTTGAGATTGAACAGGCTGAAGTAAACCGGAAAGTGAAAGCAATAACTGCATACTACGGTGAGCTTGCCTGTGATGCTTCATGGTAACTTTCCCTATTAATTGTTGATTTTCTTATTAATTTCTTATATCTATCCAAAAAATGTCCAAAATAAAGATTCCGCATTGATCATAAGGTATTAGGATTTTTTAGATTTAGAGAAATCTGTACTTTTTCGTTGTTTTGAAATTTTGGGACTTTTTTCCTTAATCTAGTGAAGGTGGACGTTTCTAACAACCACAAAATCAAGTTTTCATTGCGAAGTGCATTACCGGAATCCTTTTTGAATAATTTTTGGAGAAAGTGCGTTATCCAAATGATTCTTTAGGAAAAGGTCAGATTTTCTGAAATCTTGGATGGTAGGCTAATATGTTATGATTAATGCACTTTATAGCTAACAATGGCTCATTACCGCCTTTACACAATTTTCGCTTACTGTTGATCGTCATTCATAAATTACCTCATTACTGTTTGTACCTAATAAAGCATAATAATTTGTCGGAGTTAAACAAGTGCAGCAGTAATACGAGTCACTGTTCTGTGGTATCAAGTTCTCCGCTTGAATAATTACGATAACATTCATGTTCTGAAATGGATACGTATTCTTATCAATGAATACGTAATACATGGTCGGGAAGTTTTATATTTATATTGACATCATCTAACATAACTGCTTCATACACTCTTATCTACGTTACATAGCGTAACTGCTTCATGTTAAAAAGCTGAACAAATAATTTGACGATTACAAAGAATTTGAAGTATTGCTTCTGCATTTCGTGAAAGATTTGTTTCATCTTCGTAGTATTACTAAGTTTTACTTTGAAAATTATGACTAACAAAAACGCTTCATTCTGTAGCTTATTTTTCCACAGGCTTTAATCTGTCGTATATTTAGCTCTCTTGCTTCCTAGATAGCTCATTCTATATCACTAATTTTAAATGCAAAACAAGACTGCAAACAAACTTGTTGGTTATGTCCTGTTATCGAGAACAAATTTGTATTTTGTATCAGGCAAAAGAAGCTTCTTTTATTATTTATAGCTTGACAAAATGCATCTATCTTATCTATTCCTTCACAAGGAAGTAAATGCAGTAATGCTTTAAAGATATACAAATCATATAGTTTGATAATGTTATCTTTGTGTTAGAATATTCATATCATTAAGCAATATCTACTTCATCATTTCTCATTGCATTACTGGTAAAATGCATGTGATAAAACAGTGGGAAAGATTGCATTAGCACTTGTTTGTCTATTTTTAAATGGAGCAATAGGAGCACTCAGTATCGAATTTGTAATAGTATATATCTAAAAGGTTTCCCTGTTTCAAATTTCAAAGAGAATCCTCAAAATTTGCTCACATGAATACATGAAGCTTTATGAATATCAGGACATTAATCTGACCAATTTGAATATGCAGTTGAATCATCTTTTCCAAATTATTGATTTTAGCCAAGTTGGACACTGCTTAAAATTATTTTCTCAACAATTATTGTTTAGCATCTCTCAGTAGTCTCATGAATGTAAACCGAATTTAACCATATCATAGTTTTAGCCACTTATGAGTTCCTTTAAATACTTAATGTATTATGATATTCTTGCTTAATAGTAAGATGCTTAGGTTAAAAACTGCAGGCAGCACATTAAATTCATAAATATCTGTTCGTGAGACATTTCAAATACCAGCAGCTTTAGATTATCAGCATCTTTTAACCAAATGTAACTATTATTTAATTAATCGTTTAAAAAAACCAATACTGTTACATTTTCAAAATTATCAACACATAATAATCAAATGCTTAAACTACCTACTGAGATGATTATGTCTTATCATCACACTACTTCAGATGATACAAAAAACTCACAATCTAGAATATAAGGGTATTCCTAGAACACTTTTAAATTTTTATGAATGTTTTTGAAGGTATTTTTAACTAAGTAACAATCGTAAAATGTCGTATGTGGCCAGTATAAAATGATGACCAAGTCAGAAAAGTATGAAGGAAATGGCACCAACTGTAAGCATATTTACTGCCTGAATTTAATTAACATCAATATTTGTGATGAGTATTTGTGATATATCATTAAAATAAAAATTTATTCACACTATCATAAGTCATAAGAAATCTTTTTTTTTATTGCAAAGCGTTACCAGTGCAGTTGACTCGTAATAAGGTTTTGGTACCGCGTGGCAAAATATCTAGAACAACCTGAAATGTCTTAATGATTATGCTAGAATAAAAATACAGATAAAACACGAATAATCTGAAAAAAAAATAAGATACGGAACACGAGACCTCATCCTGAATCTTCCGATAAATGTCCTGGATGTTAATATATGGCAGAGTTATTTTAGTCATCCACATTGCTCCAGTTAAATCTACACTGTTTCCATCACTGTCTACATACCTTGTTTGAGATTCCGGAGGTGACCTTTGCGGCTTTAAACTGGATAACATAAGCGAACTGAACATATGATATAATTACGGAAAGCAAAGGTTAAGAAGTACTACATATTGTCTTAAAATAACATTATGCCAGATTACTGGCTGCATTTCTAAAGTAACAGAACAGTTAAATAAATAATCCTTAGATATTACAAAAACTTCACTAGTTATCATAGAGTCATATAAAACTTTCCAAATATTTTTCAGATTAGAGAATTCTTTTAAGAATTTTTACCGAACTACCTGAATGCTTCTCAAAAAAAAAAGCTATTTAATTATTACAGTAAAAGACCAGGACTCAAGTTCCAAACGAAGGAAAGCAATAAAGAAAAATTAACCTACTCATGGCTCTGGTCACAATTCTAAAACTCTCTTCCTTCTCTTAACTTTCTTAACTACACAGTTCAGCAATTTGCATGAAAATATATCAAATGATTTTGCCACAATCAAGGCTAATCCGAGAACTTTTATGATAAATTGGTATATTGAAAATACAAAAAAACAAAACTAAAAAATTGCATCTTATTTCTAACCAGAAAACATGACGAACAAAACATCATTCTTCTAATAATCATATTTTATAGATCAAATTGTTCTAAAGCAAAATATTAAAAAATCTTTTTTCCCTTTTTTGGAGGGAAAGAAGAAGAGATAGAAAGTGTTTATGAGTGATCACTAATACAGTCATACATTCATAATATATCCCTTCGCCTTAAAAGCAAATTCTTTTAATAATCTCTTTACAATATTTAATTTTTAGTCCACGTTATACAGCTGATATCACACATCAAATGAATAACAATTAGTTATTATCACACAGGTTTATAATCAAGTTTCGTTTCCAACCTCTTCGCATCACCCACCTTACGAACTGCTTTCATAAAATCTTCATCAATGACATACTCACGTTCAGCACGAATAGCAAATAATCCTGTAAGTATTATAACTTTAGTTTCAAAGCAATTAAACTATCGAATTTTTTGCCAATAATTCGATAAGAAATAAAGTTCTAAATTTTAATCTTAAAATGTTAATGATAAATTGCCAGAAAGCAAAAAAGAACAAGTGACTGAAAAAAAAATAACTGCGATAACTAGTACTATATTAAGAGACGAGGGTTAAGATATTGGAGTTTTCGATGTTACAAATTTGGAAAAGCAAACATACAAACCTGCTTCCGTACAAACATTTCTGAGATCTGCACCGGAGAAACCATCAGACAACTTAACGACTGCTTCATAATCGATATCGCCATGTTTTGTTATTTTGCTAGCATGAATTTTTAGCACCTAAAAAAATGAGGCACAAAGAAATACTATTGCACTTTTTCCTCCATACTGGTTCAAGTGCAATTCCAGATGTAAGCTATCTGTAGAGTTTAAAAGCCAAATAAAAAAATAATTCTCTCAAGACCAGAAAAACGTGTGAAATAGAGATATAAAATGAGCATATAAAGGATTGTACTCTTATCGCATGATTTTATTAAAAATGATAAACTACTACCTTCGATTCCATTCCCTCGATCCCCTCTATCTAATGAATTCTAAATTTTGGTGGAAAAAAAAAACGAACTTATACTATATGCACATTTTTTAAAAGGAAAAGAATGAAACCTACCTCAAGTCTACTTTGCTCATTCGGCAAACCAATTTCAATTTTCCTATCTAAACGACCAGGTCTAAGCAATGCTGGATCCAACGTATCGGGTCGATTTGTTGCCATGATAATCTTCACTCGTCCTAGTGAATCAAACCCATCCATTTGATTTAACAGCTCCATTAGAGTACGTTGTATTTCGCGATCAGCTGATGTCCCTTCCGAGAATCGACGACCACCTATACGATAACAAATAAGCAGACTTCATGTGTAGTAAGACTTAATGCACAAACGAATAAGTAATCCATGAAATGAGAACATTAGTCATTCCCTCCTCCCAAATCTAGGCAAAAGCCAAATTTTTATAGAATTTACCAATAGCATCAATTTCATCCATAAACACGATGCATGGCTGATGATCGCGGGCGTAGTTGAACATCTCACGAATCATTCTCGCCGATTCACCGATATATTTATCAACTATGGCAGAAGAAACAACTTTCAGGAAATTACAGTCCAACTGAGAAGCCACAGCTCTGCAATAAAATGGTGACTAGCAAAGTGCACTTTCATCTTCCAACAGAGATAATGCTTTTAGATATGATAGCCAAAATCAGAGGATACAAAAAAAAAAAAAAGACAGAAAGAGTTACCTTGCCAACAAAGTTTTTCCAGTCCCTGGAGGACCATATAAAAGACATCCTTTAGGTGGAGTAATACCAACACGTCGGAACAAATCAGGGTTAACTAATGGTAACTCAACGACCTGAAAATAATGGTACGAAACAAAACTATGATGGAAAAACATATGATCAAGGCTAATTAAATCTTTGGTCAACTAATTTTAGCTAATTAAACACAGCTAATGGACTTGCTCATATTTACTAAAATTGAACGAACAACTTGCTTTGTGTTTTAAATTCTGCAAGACTTTTTAGGAATACTTCCAGCAAAGTGATAGTGTAGGAAGATTACTCACTTCACGCAATTCACGTATTTGTTCGCTTAACCCGCCAACTTCAGAATACGATATATTGCCTGGATCTTCGTGGCTCATTTTATAGACCAATGGATCTACTTCTCGAGGTAATTGTCGCATTATTGTAAGTGTTGTCATATCCAGAGCAACTCGAGTGCCCTTAAACATTTTTGTTATGAAAGTCCTGTAATTTATAAGGAAGCAATGATAAGTAGTAAACTCTTTGTGTGCATTAAGCCTGTTATTTCATAATGAAAAAATTTCGATTAATTGTATAAAAGTTGCAAAATTTAAAGTTAAGACGAGTAATATAAAACCCCAAATACTAAATGTGATGTGACTACTGTGAGACTAATAATGAAAGAAGACTAATTTTAGTCCAGATTAGAAAGAAAGGAGAAATGCCTGGTGACTTACTGCGTGAAGGATTTGAAATTTCAGTTAAGATTCGAATGCCGGTTTTGATAAGAAAAAAAAGGGAAGAAAAATCAATAATTCATCAGCAGTGATAGCAAGCTTTGTAATCAAAATTCCTCTATTTACTGATCACCACTATATCAAGTAAAAAGGATACCTGCTTCAGAGCTCCCTTGTTTACTGATCGTCTGCAACCAACTACATATCGGGGACCATTTGTAGCTTTCACAATAAATTTCTCTTCGGTTAACTGTTTCAATACTTCTCCAACTATTTGCCCAACTGACTGCAACGATTTGATATCGTTTTCCGACTTGTCGTGTTCTTTCTGAACTTCTACTTCCTAAAACATCCAGAAAAAGAATTAATTTAGAGAAGAGTGAAAGACACAATTTTTTTTTCAGTTAGAAATCACAGAAATTAAAGAGATTTGGTCACAGAATTATAACTCCCAAACTAACTAGAATCCCATATTCCTTCTCCTGTAGTACCTAAAAACCCACTTTTTTTCTTAGCTGCTTCAAACGTTCTTCCACTTCACGATATTCAACCAATTTACGACGGTATGCTCCTAGAGCACGTGATTTTTCATCTTCGACTGGAGCAACTGTTTGCTCAACCATTTTCGAATGTCTGAAAATGAGTGTTAGATCTAGAATGAACTTTACAAACTCAACGTTAGATCGTAACTAATAACTCTCTATCGGTAACTATGTAATCATTTTCAGGCAATGTTCACAAGCGATGTAAAAAATAATTGGACAAAGAAATGTTCAAAGAAAATATCTTATATCAACATAAATTTATTTTCCTAGTTTAAGCTTTTCTGATTATCATTTATCACTAACATGTTTAGTAATTGAAGGGTTACAGTGTTAAAGACACAAGTCATTCAACAGAGAACAAATGCGAAGTGACGAAATATAGGGGCAAACATACGTAAGCGTATGATTCATAGAGCTAAAAAGCAGAAAGAATATTTTGGTTATAAAATAAAAGTAATATTTAACATATTTAAAGTCTAAATGATATAATGAGATTGGATCTGTCACAGGTGATAATATCGAAGATAACAAGCTCACACTTGTAATAAATGATGAGATAGGCAATTGAAATTCTTATCAGAAAGAAGATTGTTGAGGTTACTGGGACACATATCCGTGAGAATTACGGAAACTTGATAACAATGATTCAGTAAGCGTACCCGAAATATTATTGGGTAAGAAAATGACTTCACGAAAAAACTTCACCCAACACGCCTATTTTCACGTAACGCACCTCTTGCGCCTATGCTATTGACATTATGCACCGAATGCGTTGTTACCTTCGCTCTCTCATGTCTATGTTTTTAACGTACTCTCTTCTGTCCGATGATCAAGTAATACTTCTTGCCAAAGTATTACTTAACCTGAGATGAGTACTGGTAATTAAATTCATTTAAATTTAATCTTCATGATCAAAAGATGAATTTAGAACTTTATAGCTAGGCAAATATTAATGATTATGCTACCTTGTACTGTATTACGTTATGCATCCTCACATTTGTCACACGTAACGTAACAAGTTTATAGCGTTAGATATACATCCTGAAGATATCCGATGATTAGTATAATATTCGGAGAGTTGGAATCGAGAGCATGACCCTTCAATTCTCATCATTTACTATTCAATTTCGATGGTATACCATTTCTTTTTCAATTTAGGAATGGTAGATTCGCGAAAAAATTATGATAGATAGTGGCCTATTTGTTGATATATCAGGGAATCGGTTCTATTCGTCATTTTCAAGTAGGAATGAAAATTATCTTATCTGTATAATCTTAGGTGAAATGATGCTTTCGTGAAATATATTTCAATCTTTATTAAAGAAGAAATTGAAAATCATTATTTGATATGCCTAGGAAATAAATCGTTATTCTTGCAGTGCTTAGCAGAGATGAATTAAAATAACAAAATTTACTTAAATTACATGATGAAAAATAAGTACCGAGAAATACTCTGAACGAAAATTATTATTCGATTTGTAAAATACACACATCAATCATTTGAATTAGTCAAATATTCTGTAGTAAACTTAAATTTAAAGTGGTATTTATCTCAGAGAAGTAACCATCTACTGACAATTACATATTGCAAAAAAATGAATTCCTTCCTTTCACTTTCTCCCCCTCTCTCTTTCCCTCTCTCTATATACCACATACATTATTCTTTATTTCACAAGGATAATCTGTTAATTCTTGTTGTCAGTATTTGAAATTGAATTTCCCAAGAATGATATTTCGTTATGCTTTTCGAAGTTTATATTGAAGAAATCCAAAAAACATTGGCGAAAAAGTCGGATGGAGCCATCACAAATATAAGGGAAGAACCGAATCCATGAGATCAGCAGGTAAATTAATTATGTTTTAGAGTTTCTGTTTTCTTCTATTTTCCGGTTTTTGTTTAAGTTACATGTTTTGAATACTTTTATTACTACTAATCGCCTCTACATAATACGAATTATTTTTACTTAATACAAAAAAGGATTGGAAGTGTATAGCAGACCAGGAATCTATTAGCAGGAACTAGATCACTGTACTGGATAAGCGTCTGAAAAAATCTCCTATTCAAGTGATTATTATGGTGATGTTTTCAAAAAATTTTAGCCTCATCTCTCCCTTAGACGTCTGGAGGAAATAATTGTTATTTGAATGGTTTTCACATTCACGGGATCGGAGAAGATACATGAACTTCTATGATTTCCGAGATATGACGGACCAGAGTGCGAGATGAAATATGCGAGCGGTCAATCAAGTCCTGCTTCACAAAAATTCATAAAAATGTTGGTTGATTGTTACCAAAATCATAATTCCAAATACCACAGTTATCCGTTGTTTTTTGCACGTGATGCACGAGGACTAGAATTAAGTTGCATGAACTTTGACGCATTATGACAATGAAAGGTATTATTTTTGTAGTACAAATAAAGTGACTTCATATAATTTTATATTATCACCCTGACTGTTAAAGATCAAACACTGGAAGCAAGTCTTACATCCATCAGTGAATTAACTCCTCGATGATTCGAACGTTAAACAAATGCCATTTCAATCTCATTTTCTGACTTTCAACTCAGTTTAGGTGTTGACTAGTTTCGAGTTTTTATATAAAGTCTTCATAGAAACACTATAACGAACTACTATCAGGTCGTTGTAGTTATCTTCTGAACCTTTGGAAGATCACGGTAATGCTGTATCAAAGCGATCTGGGGATCGTTACTTCACTTCTCCATCTCACGGAAATTGTTCAGTTAAACTATCCTGATTCTCTGTTCAGTAATAAATTATGATGACATATAAGAAAATTCAATTAATATGTTGATGAAATGGCGTAGATTCGATATCACGGCATTTATGTCAGCTTTTTTGTTTGGGAAAATTAAGCTGAATTACCGGCGGCAGCCATCCGTTCTGGGGATTGTTGTAATATCTGGTCTTAATTTTTTGAAATTTTGGGATGCAAATGGGACTTTTAAAGTCGATATTTGTGAATTAAGTGAATGGTTATAAATCTGAATGGCTTCTTCTGAATTTTATAGCACTGTAAAGACATTTTCATGAATATCGTAACTTAGCAATAATTTGGTACAATATGAAAATACGAGAAATTGTCTTACAGCTATAAGTTTCCCCAGTCAGTTTCCTCATGGATGGTTTTGTTGATCAGTGTTTTGTTCCGTCCACCAGTCTTCTTCAGTTTCACCTGGTATTCCTTCCTCTTCCTCGATTTGACTGCTCAGTTTCTTGACATCTTCTTTAATGGCGTCACGAATCCGGTCAATGACTTTCTGGTAAACAAAAAATCAGTAATGCTTGTTTGTTATCACAAGTCAAAAAAAAATATTGCAAAAGCAAATTGGTTACTTTGTTTTCACATTAATTTAACGAACAATAAAAAATAAACTTTGACTTATTACACTTATTTTTCTTTTTTATTTTTTATGCACTGTATAAATAGGGAAAATTAAGCAGAATTACCGGCGGAAGCCATCCGTTCTGGGGATCAGCCCTTTCACTATGTGCAAAAAATTCCTTTCGTACAATTTCTTCAGCAATTGGAAGTTTCACATCACATATGCAATACCACATTTGTCGCACACGAGGAAGTTCTCCTACAAATGAAAAATACATAGAGAACTGAATATTTAAATAAGATAGTAATTTTTTGTATATGAATGGTACACAGTCTAATAATGGTCCTCGTTAGACGAGTTAAGGAAGCTCAGCAACTCGATCTGAATAAATAAAGTCTTTTATTTGGATCGGAAATAATCCCATTTTTTTCAGCAAATCGAACTACTCGAATAGTAAAGTAATAGAATTCATGTCTGCAAGAATTTGGTACAAATTACCAGGAGTATACGTATAATCGATTTGCTCATCTGTAAGAGAACCGTATGTCGACGGAACCGCTGGTGCTAGCGATGAAGCACTTGTGACCGACGCATGACCTGGTCGTTCACTATTTTTCTATAAATTTCGGGAATTATGTAAGTGAATTCAGGAAATCTTATCAAAATTTATTTATGAAGCCTAAGTAAAATATCAACTATATACCCTCAAAAAACTACACACTAAAATCCATTGCTATATATAGAACAAATAGATATGAAGATCTCGTAAAAAACATTGTAACTGGTCACACTTACAGTTACAATTTTCAAACGCTGTCTTTCCGGTATTTTAGCATGTTGTCGAAACGTCACCATAACTGACTGGTACTGTTTTGCCTGCAATGATCAGATATATACCGAACCAAAGGATATAATATTAATATAAACGCATACATTTGGATCGGTTCTTGGGTCATATCCGAAACGACACCACAAACGACCCCATGGTCCATTCAAAATGTAAAATGCAAATTTCTGCAGCAGTGTTCTGAAAAAAAAATCTTAGATAAGAGTAAGTTATTCAGGGATGCGGACAAATTAACGTACTACTCTTTTAGTTATCTCTACACTTCAGCTATCTCTTCACAAAACATAACTTTTATAAACATTTATGCACAACTTATATATTTTATTTGATTGTTTCAACAGTTATATCTGACTTACTTTATTAAGCCGTCATCCAACCTTGTTTTCTTAAGAATACCCACTCTAGTCCACATTGGTCGCTCTTCAAATAATTCCTGCAGCAAACGATGAGGTTCGTCGTTTTTACACCTATAAATACGATTGCAAAATATTTTCATATAAAAATTTTTCATGGATCTACGCAGTGGTGCTAATTTCAAATTCAGTGCAGTTATTCGTTCTTGTCGTGGTCTCTTTCATGAGTTAGTCCGCAGTTAGGTCACCTCAGAACTACGCTACACTGTTTCTTTGGCAATATCAATGATATAATTAGCGTTTTTTTTTTCCGACAATTTCTGAGAAATAAAAGAAACAAATTGATATTTTTATAGAAGCAGAAAGACTACTTGAAAAGTTTCCAAACTAATTGTTGAACTAATCTACTGTTCTTTTCCTCTTTTAAATTACCGAAATACTAAACCTAATGTTTGCATCATTCACCGCCTCTTCAGTAGGCTGTTTCGGAAACTCAGCAGTTGAATGCACGGTCATAGATAATGCTTTCCT